GACACTCCTGGCTGATGGGCAAGGCCGTAGAAGACGTGTCGCAACCTTATGTAGATCAGTGCTTACAGGCGCTAATCGTAGCACTTGAGGACCCGTTGGCACATTGGGATGAGAACTTCCTCATAGCCGTTATCCTGCTTCGGCTTCACGAAGAGATGGGCGATGCCGACGAACACTGCCACCACCTCGTACGTTTTCTCGCTCTTAAGCTTGACTGTATATCTCTCCTGACCACATGGTGATCTCAGGGTACCGCCCGTATACTCAACAGTATCTCCTCCTTCGCCGCAGACGGTGGCCTCCGCGAATCAGCATCCTGGGTATCTCTCCGCCAACACATCTACGTCTCTCTCACGACCCAAAAGCCACTCAACCTCAGCCTTGACAACTACCGCCACTCAGCTGTGTTCAGCGAATTCGACGACGAAAGCTGGGCGAATCGCATCATATTCCTGTTCGCCGTTGTCCTGCAAACTGTCTTCGGAGGCACCAACAATGGCAGCGAAAACATCAGCCGCGAAACATGGAAAGAATTGAATGATGAAGTCGAGGAATGGGAGCGCACGAAGCCCTGGACTTTCTCGGCCTTCCACGTCGAACCCGATGCGGGCGACAAGTTTGAGGGAAGCTGGCCTGAACTGCTCTGTCCGCAGGGGATCGTGGCAGTCGGGCTGCAGTATTACCACCTTTGCAAGATACTGCTCACAATATACTCGCCTAATGCATCATTGGTCGGGCTGGCAGGTGTTCGGGCTAGGAAATCTACCGACGCGGCTGTTCGCAAGCACATGAGGATAACGATAGGGTATGGCGTGAGTAACAGTCATTGTGGTAATGCTATGTTCCAGGGTAGTCACATTCTGAGTGCATGTGGAGCTTATATCATCGACCCGCGGGAGCAGCAGGCTTGTGTGGAGTATCTGGAACAGTTGCAGAGACTGATAGGGTGGAGGACGGATGGCGTCTTGAGGGATCTTAGAGAGCAATGGGCGTTTTGAGGTGACAACACAACGATTAAGAGAAAGGCTCTGTTGGCGCCACTGAGACTGAAGATTGCAGATGCCCGAAGTGAAACATTTTGACGTCTCAATTCTTTATTGCGAAGCAGCAGTCTATAGCGATGCTTCCAACTCATCAAGACCTGACACCTGGCTCACGACCCATTTCCTCTTCTCTTCGTCTGTGTATCGTGGGTAAGGCCTACGGCAGTCCGCACTGCTCTCCGGGTATCCCCTCTTATGCGCAACGACGTACTTGGTGCCATTGATGCCACCCTTTCCGAAACCCCATTCCGTGACCGAGAGCTTGATCTGGAGGGCTGATGCTTCGTCGTGCTTGCCTGATTGGTAGAGATTGAACAAGTGTATGCAGGACTGATCTGTTAGCTTCCATACACGCAACACTTTGGCGATAGTACATACCTTGGGGTACAAGTTCGCAACACCAGTAATGGTTCCGATTCCACCCAAACTTAGCGCGGGTACAAGCCAGTCGCTCTGACCGGCCAGCGCCACAAACTCCGACTTGTCGAACGCAGCACTAATCCTCGCAACCTTTGCGATGCCTCCGCACGTGAGCTTGACGGCTACAATGTTCTTGTGCTTGCCGAGGATATCCAGCATCTCGGAGTTGATGTCGAGGCCGGCTACGACGTTGGGGAAGTTGTACAGGACGATGGGGACGGGGGATGCGTCGGCTAGTTCCTGGAAGTAGGCTACGATGGCATCCTGGTTCATGGAGAAGTGGAAGTAGGAGGGCACCAGTGCGAGGTAGTATGATGCGCCTGCTTCTTTTGCTTCGGCGGTTTGCTGTATCGCGTCGCGTGTGCAGCCTGCTACGCCTCCAATTGTGATGGGTAGGTCTCCGCGACCGAGGCGCTGTGCCGTCTTGCGAGCGGTTTGGACGAGTTGCGTCTTCTCGGCCGAGGATAATGTTGCTGCTTCGCCATTTGTTCCTGCGATGACGATGCCGTGCAGACCGTTGGAAATCAAGAACTCGAAATGCTTTTCTTGGACATCCCAATCGATCTCTTGCTTGGTGTCATTCTTGAACCAGGTCAATGAGGGGACATGGATTCCTGGTGGGAAGGAGTATGTTGTTGTGCCGTTGGTGCCGTTTGCGGAAGGCATTTTGTGAGGATGTCAAGAGATGAGCAGGTACGGAGGGGAACTGAATGTGGAGGACATCTCTGCAGCAGAGCGAAACCGCCGCATTTTGGCATCCACGACTGCGCGACGCGTTCCGGTAGTACGATGGAGTATGCGAGAAGACGCGCTTCGGCGTGGAGACGTGTGGATGTTCCATCGGCTCCCAAGGCGCGCGATTCGCCGTCGGCTACGACCGCGACGGTGACGTTGGGCTACCGACGCTCGCATCGCCAGCTTCGCGTGTCGGCTGCACTAGGCCCACGAGCTCCCACACCACGCCACCGAACCCACGCGACGAGAGTGCGCCATCTCTGGAGACTCCACTGGGGAAGGTCGTGGTCGGATGTGGCAACCTGGTTCTCCGTCCCGGAATGGCCTGGGTGTTTTGTGGGGAAGCGCGTTTGGTTCATAAGAACGTGGGAGCCCCAGGTTTGGGATCGGCATCAAGACTACTGCAGAACTCTGCAGCTTCAACATCCGTCCGGTAACTTGAGCATTGTTTGTTCTGGTGGATAGTCATCATGGGTGGTTTTGCTCGCGCGCCCGAAGACAGGCCAACGCCTCCGGAAGTTGTAAGTTCTTGTGCTGAGCGATGGTGAGATGATAAGGTGCTAATGTAGTCTATAGTACAACTGGAGGGTCTACATGGCCGCGCTCGTCATCTCAATGGGCGTTTTGGCTTATGGTTACGACTCTGCCTTTATCGGCACTACCATTGCCCAGGAGTCCTTCCAACGAGACTTTGGCATCAATGCATCGAACAAGAACGAGATCACCAGCAACATCACCTCCATATATTCGGCTGGAGGACTCGTAGGAGCGCTGCTTATGTACCCATTCCTTGAGCTCCTTGGTCGCCGTGCGACAGTCATCATCTCCGATGCCATCTTCATCGTTGGCGCGATCATGTGCACTGGTAAGCAATCTTCATTAACCTCATCCAGGTGCCAGTACTAATAGTGCACTTTAGTCCCCAAGAACCAATTGAGTCTTGTCCTCGCCGGCCGATTCTTCACTGGCATGGGTGTAGGAGGAATAGCCGCTGTGTCGCCCATCTACATCGCCGAGATCTCGCCTCCTGCTATTCGTGGACGCCTCACTGGGTTCTTCGAATCGTTCTACCAAACGGGTGCCGTTATCGGATTCTGGATCAACTACGGCATTGTACACAATATGGACCGATCAAAGTCCATCGCTTGGAGAGTGCCTATGGCTGTTCAGCTCATCCCTGCCGGACTGCTAGCTCTCATGATACCGGTTCTGAAGGAGTCTCCTACCTGGCTGCTGAAACGCGGTCGCGAGGCTGAGGCCTTGAAGTCGTGGAGCTACTTCCGTAACCTACCCGAAGACCACCCATACATTGCCCAGGATGTTCAATACGTGCGAAATGAGATTGCGAAAGAGCGTGCCGCACTTCTACATGGCGAGGCGCATGCAAGCTTCCTCACAACGATCAAAGCCGCAGCACGCGAAGGAGCCATGCCAGGAATGCGAAACAGATTCCTCTTGGTATTCCTCATGTTCATGTGGCAAGCTTGGAGTGGTGCCGCGGCAATCAACTACTACTCTCCAACCATCTTTACATCCATCGGATTGTCCGACGTAACTCTCTGGACCGGTATCTACGGAATAATCAAAGCTGGAGGTTCCATCATCTTCTTCACCTGGTTCATCGACATGTTTGGGCGGAAGTGGCCTTGGATCATCTCTTCCTTGATATGTGCTTTCTGCCAGTACTACCTCGCCGTCTACATCGCGCTTGGAAAGCCGACAGTGGGCGAGCCCATGTCCGAGTCTACAGTCGCTGGTGGCAAAGCTGCAACCGCAATGATCATGATCTTTGGTGCTGCCTGGTCATTCGGTGCGAACGGCCTTCCCTGGATCATCTCTAGCGAAATCTTCCCCGCATCTATGCGCTCTATATCGGGACCATGGGCAGCAGCATCCGTATGGATATGGACTCTAGTAGTCACCAAGGTAAGCACCTATCAGTCGCATGTAATAGATATACTAATCTTGTTCTAGGCCTTGCCGCAAATGTACACCTCGATGGAATGGGGCGTATACGTCTTCTTCGCCACCGCGCTTATTTGCGCTAGTATCTACGCCTTCTTCTTCATCCACGACACGAAAGGACTGCGCATGGATCAGATGGATCAGTTGTTTGGTTTCGAGAAGCGCGAAGAGTTCATTGTGCAGGCAGATGGGAAGAACGTAGATTACGAGAGTGAGCACCACGAGAAGGCGCCTGTGCAGCGGACTGAGGCTGTTTGATTGTAAGAAGTATTTTAGTGATATCCATGTATTCAGAGCGTTGTAAGACAGACGTTCAAGTCATTTTCTGTACGTAATGAGTGAAGCACAAATTCTCCTCGCGCTTCTTTCCCAACACAACTATACAGCCCAGTCTATCGATTTTCAAAGCAGTCTATGAGATCAGCAATTGTCGTTTCGGTTCGTGCAACGTAAGCAATATACGATGCGTGTTGACTTATATCGTGGGAAGCGCGTGTCACATAGGCTAAATCCTGCCTTACTTTCGAACAGTCTGTCGGGTCGTGGAAACCCAGGCTGAGCCCTGACCTAACCCGTTTTGACAGCGATCCCAGCGGCTCGTTAGATATAGCTCCTATATGTAGGCAAGTGTAATGCCAATTGCAGCATGGTACTACATATTGGGATCTGACCTGACGGCTCCTTCAGCCGCAACCGAAGGATTGATGTCGAAGTGCCACGATCACGGCAAGAAAAGGCGGTATTTGGTCTACTAGGCAGGAAAAGGATGGTTGAAGAAGAGCATAAGATGTGCAAGTTTCTAGCCTAATGTCTTCCTCTTTGTAGTCTCAACACACCATGCCGTCACTCATGCTCTCATTCTTACTCGCTCTCTTCATCACACTCACCGCAGCCGCCCTCCCACCCAAAGGCGCCGTTTCCCTGACAAGCCTGGACATCGACCTCGATGGAAGTGGCTGCAGGCCCGGCGACGCCAGCGTCATGCTCGCCTCCGACAACTCTGCTTTAACCATCATCTTCGACAACTTCGCCGCTTCCGACGGACCAAAAGCAGGGACTGCAAAGACACGCGCCTTCTGCAGGGTGAATATAGGCATGAACTCGCCGGGGTGGGCGTTCGATGTCAGCTCGGCTGATTTCCGAGGCTATGTGTACATTGAGAAGGGGGTTGAGGCTAGTTTGGTTAGCCGGTGGAAGTGGATTGATGTGAATGGCGTGGATATGAAGGGCAAGGTACGTGGTTATGGTGGCTGAAAGTGTTGTTGGAGGTACTGACTTGAAGGATAGGGCAACATTCATAAGATTGTAACAGGGCCATTCGAGGAAGACTTCCTTTTGCACAAGGACGGTGAGATATCAGATACGGAGGCGTCGGTGTGTCAGAAGAAGGATGCGAGAATTCAGATTAGTCTCTCTGCGACGGTAGATTCGGGTACGTCGAACAAAAACGGTTACGTGCAGGGGAGCTCGGTGGATGCTGGGTTCGGCCAGATACTAAATCTGTCGTGGAAGAAATGCTGAGGTAATATGTTTAATTTGGGGTATCAATTTAAGGGCCAAGAGAGAAAGGTGTCCGTCTCCATCATCGCATCACAGCACTTCTTGCTGCTCCGTGAGAAGATCGGACCGACGTAGTCCTACTACGCCTTGGTGTATGCCGGCAGGTCTTCAGACTGTGCCTTGGCAGCAGCCCTCGCCTTCCTCCTCTCCCTGCGGTCCATCTCCCTTGCCACCGCCTTGGCCAGCTTCCTGCGCTCCTCGCGCTCCTTCTGCTTCAGGATATCGCCCTTGCCCTTGCCCGACCAGACCTTCTTGAACTCCTTGCGGAACTTCTGGTTGAAGGTAAGGTACTTGTCGGCCTCCTCTTCCGCCTTGGCCTTGGTGTGCTCCTCCTCGTCGTCGGTGTCGTAGAAGTCGGACTCTTCGTCGGCCTCGTCAGAGACTAAGCGGTTGGTTTCTCCATTGGAGGACTCGAGGCTGACTGCACGCTGGTTGCGCGCTTTGTCCCAGGTCTTGGTGCGCGAGTAGGCGACGCAGCCGGTGATGCTGAGGACCGTGAGGAAGGGGAAGGAGAGGAAGAGCAGCATTACGATGCCGAATGCGATGAGGTCTTCGTCCATGTTTGCGGTCTGAGGGTGTATGTGTATGTGTATGTAGGTGTATGGTTTGAGTGCTGGAGGTGGAGAGTGTGGAGACTGAAGGCAGGTCTTAAGGGGAGGGTGGTTTGCCACCCGGAGTGTGGCGCAGCCGGTCCGGAACCGTACGTCACACGCGCGAGTCATGCATACCATGTGATTGTGCGTCTGAACACAGTTTCCCTTCCTCTGGACCTGGAACGCTTCAACACACAGACATCATAAGGAGGGTAGTATTTGTTTGCTAACCGCAGTAGTCATGAGCTTTGGTCGAGCTATCAGTCGCATTGCCACCATCTACTGGCTTGCTACGATGTGATTCCCGGGCTCGTGCAACCCCAACTTATCTTCTCCCGGGGTCACGTCAACCCACAGAGCTCAGAAGCGCACTCTCTACTCTATTCCAAATACAGCTTCTCCAGCTCCTTGAGCTCTCCCATCAACCAGTCTTCATGCCTCTGCTCATACCTCTCCGCCTTGAGCCTCTTCTTCGTCAGCTTCGTCTCCGCAGCATACTTCTGCATAGCCTTTGTGCCCACGCTCAAGATCTTCTTCGTATGTCGCTGGAAGGCTTCTTCTTCCTTGCCTAGTATATCCGCCCATGTCAACCCTTTGCGCTCCATCGCCGCATCGACAGTCTCGTGCCACGCCTTCATTGCACTCGCCGCAACTTCGAATCGCAATCCCTCCGTACCCTTGGTTTGTGACACTTCATCTGCGTACTTCGCAAGTGTACCCAGCGGTTTGATGGCCTGGATCTCGTCGACGAAGATGTCGGTGTGTGGCTGCCAAGGCTTGTCGCCCTGAATCATTCCGTACTGCACGCCGGAGATATCGAGCGACGTCTGTTTTCCCGTGGGTCTGTGGGTGACGCGCATGCACCAGTGGATGTACACAGTAGGGTTTGGGTTTTCGAAATCGAAAGGCTCGTCCGTAGCTGTGATGGCTTTTTCTTTGGGCGTCTTGAGGCGGACTTTGACTTCGTCGATGTCTACATCGAGGCCTGGTTGTCTACTAGTTAACATTCGCCGTCTGATCTAAATGATCCCTGGGTCTCACCTGCGAATAGCTGCTCAATGAGCTTCTTCAGAACGCCAATGTCGTGACACGGCGAAATCACCAGCACCTTGCTCTTGGCCTCAGGATTGCCAACGAAGTACTGCTGAGGGAAGTCTGCAAACCAGCCGTTCTTCCGCCCGAGCTTCTTTGGGTCGTCTGTGATGATGGTGAGGCCGTCATAGAATGTTGGAAGGGAGATTTTGGCGCAGAACCGGCTCCATGTAACTTCGCGGTAGGCGTAGAAGATTTGTTGAATCATGCGGGAGGCGCGATGGATGCGGAACCCGGGAGAGGATACCGGGCTCGCTCTCAAGCCGGTCAGGTAGTCTCTCAGCATACCGATCAAGCGGTGTCGATGTTCGGCATATCGTTCGTCGATTACCCGCTTGCCTCCGGGCAGCAACAATTGTCGCGGTATCTTAGACATGATAATTGATTTCTGTGCGGTTGGTAGTGGTAGCTGAGGTAGTGGTTAGGGCGCGACTTTGCTCTTGTTGTTGCCTCTGCCTTCACCATGGCGACGGAAATCTCTGACTACAAACAACGAGAAATATGACGACACTTCATTTTCAGATAACACAACAAGCGAACTACGGGTTTGGAATGAGTACTCGGATTTTTAATAAGATCAGATCATTTCCATTAGAGTTTAGGAGAAAGAGAGACAGGCGCAGGGTACATCAGTCATCTTACCGCAGTAAAGACGTCTCCGAATTACAGGCAATACTTGATGGCGATAGACCAGAGTGCTCAAAGTCTGCGTCCAAGACGAACCCGCCCTCCGGTAGTGTTTTAAACCTCGTATTCTCAGGCCATGGCTGATGTTCATGCCACCCTTTGGTATTCACCGTCAGTTGAGATCCCCCACGAGACCTTTCTGGTACATCCTTTCTCGTGGATTGACGCGGGCCTGCGTTCATCGCTTGATCAGGTGCTTTGCAGATCTCATTAGATACAGCGACTTTTGGCGGCTGGACAGGGCCCCGCGAAGTCTGGTCATCGAGCTCTACGCGCCGTTCCCTTTTCACACGTTGGTGAGCGCCAAGGCGATGATCGATTCTCAATTGTACAGTGACACCTTCTTTATCCTCTTGGTACTTCTCATTCGAGCCGATGAAGAAGTCTATGCGTTCGTCGTCGTACACGGTAGCCTTACCGCACGGACAAGAAATAGCAAATTCGAGACGACCCTTCTTCAAGACACCCCGCTGAGTTCTCCCGCACGCGCGGCATAATCTACAATACGGGACCAATCCAGCGGTCGCTGAAGAGGGCTCCTGAAACGCATCCAGATGTGATGATTGAACTCGTTTAAGGACCGCGGAGCTGGAACATTCCGGGCAGAAGATGTGATCGCACCTGGTGCATTCCAGACGGTTAAACGGGAACGCGCCGTGACGATGGGTTACAAGGTTTTCGTTATCAGCGTGGCCCTTACAACATAGCCACACGCCATCTTCCTTGTGTCTTCGCCAGCCGGCTACAGGCTCGTAGGGTTTATCAGGCGACTTCGGGACAATGTCATGGTATATACTGCCTGTCCAACCTTGTTGTTTGCGCACTATCTTGAATGCGCCTCCACCCAACGATTTGGATCGCTCGCGGTTCGTCATCTTTCTTCAGTCTGTTCCTACTGCTTGATATTTCTAGACTCTCTTGTGAGGTCCGAATGGGGGTGGCGGATGAGGTTATATAGATCCAGTCGAGCCTTCAATAGACGTTGTTTGCCATGTGTTTCACAGTGTCTAGTGATCTTGTTGGATGCAGTCATGCATTGGGTCCCTGCTGACTCTGAGGTCTGTGTTGCCGATGTACAAGGGAGCTGTGTATATACGAATATTTGCTATGCTGGCCGGCGCGCAGTGTAGAGCTATAGATTCCGTCTTATTTCTTGCAATCACGAAACATAGACAAGATGTGAGGGACAGGTATATTAGTAGACGCTGCTCAATAGCAGGATGACTGTGGACGAGGAAACGGACGCACGAATCTAGCATCACGCGTTCCGTCCGCTCAATCTGGAAACCACGAGACATCGACGCGGACATCCCAATCTAAATCTGGCTTCAACACATGAGTTGTAGATCCATGTGCTCGTCGCTTAGGGCGTTTATTACGCTTGGTCTCCGGCTTTGAAGCGTCTCGGACGTGAGTTGGACCCCCCTTATCGAGTGCTAGACGATACTTCTCAATCTCACCAGGGGAGGAAGGAACCCAATTGGCAAGAGGAATCCTGTTGCTCTTACACCGTTGGGATGCATCCAGTCTTTGCGTGAGGCGGACATCTACCGTGACGGCATCGGCATCGTTCTGATACGCAGCGTTATCGCCAATATAGAAGTACATTGGCTCTTCGCTAGAGATCTGGCCGCAGGCGCATGGCATTGTTGGAAACTCAATGCGACCTTTGCTGATTTTACCACGATGTGTGAGACCGCATGCTCGACACAGTTGGCAGTATCTGCTCTCTTTTAGCCTCCTCTGGCCTTCGAAACGTTCCTCGTAAACCTCCAACTTCAGTGAGGGTACTGGAGTCAAGATCTCGGAGGTACGATCATCAGGACACAGTATGCGTTCGCAATGACATTTAACATACTTGAAGGGATGTGGTCCCGCGAAATGGTATAGTTTCATGTCGTGGCCACAGCTAGGGGCCCAGACACCATCTGCGATACGGTCGTGTTGGAAATGGACATCGCTGTTGAGATGTCTACGTGGGCTTCGCTTCGAGAGCCTGAAAGGGTTAACGGCTTTGACAGCCTTTGCGACTCTCTCTAATGAGAGTCTCCGCGTGGAAATCGTTGTGAAATGAATCATACTCATTGTATCTTGGGCTGTTGTGAAAGCGAGTAAAATTTCGGGTTGTTGGTAGGCTGTATGCCCGGCCATGGAAGAAACAATGCAATAAAGAAATAGTTGTGCTGCTGCTACACTCTATCATCACTATGGCTGGCTCCGCATCACTGTCAGTATATAGACGATGGATTTGACATATATAACGAAATACCGGGAAATGTGATGGATCAGTACTCTCTATAAATGCACAATGGGATATGAGGTAGTGATAGTAAGACGACTTACTTGAGACAATATCAGTAGATAGAGTAAACACCACTTGCATGTCTCTCAACGTATCGCTGTCTTATCCGTATGGCAATGGTTCAGATCGAAGCTGACGAAGGCAGCCATTGGCGTGATGGGATCCTCCTCCTCCAATGCTATTCAGACAGTCGTGAACATCATCCTGGGTTCCTGCAACTCAGTCCCGATGGTGGCCCATACTCGTTCGCAATGATCCACCGAAAAGTAAGCCTCGTCGCATCATCAGCTCTTGCATCGATGAGTTTGACAAAGCTCGCATCCGGATCTCTCCTATACGGCTCGTTGTTACCGATGTGGTAGCGTGGCCAGTCACCGTATGAAGTGCTCCCGCAAGCCGCACACTTGACACCGTAAAAGTCTAGGGTCGTACCTTCCATCTCGGCGCGATGACTCAGTCCGCAGGTAGTGCAGACGTGGAAATAACGAACTTCGCGATCGAGGCGTGGCCGTGGTGCTTGAATCATGCCGTACGGTAGAGGTGATAGAATCTCGGATGAGTGACACTGAGAACACAGTATCTCGTTGCAGCGACTGCATACCAGATGTTTGAAAGGAAATGCGCCTTTGTAGTGCGTAACGACGTTCTCATGACGACAGTGGCAGCATCTCCATATTCCGTCCCCGATCTCTGCATCGCTCCGCAAGGCCCGTAGAGCAGGATACTTGTTCTCCTGTATTATATAATACTCGGTGGGCGCTTCCGCAGGGATCGCGGAGTCGAAATCTTCCTGTACGCTTCCTGGCCTAGAGCTGTCCTTTGAGTGTCGTTCGGCTATCGGCGAGAGGAGATGATGCGCTGTTGTCGTGGTGCCTTTTCTCGAATCGGCCTTTTCGAAGACGCTAGTCAGTGTCGATGTAAAGGCTTTCGACAGTCGCTTGGCGCGGAAGATGCTGCTCTGACGCTTCATACCGAGCTATGTTCGGAACCGTGGTAGTCGCGCGTGGGGTTAGTGTAGCTGCAGGGACGAGACTGGATTTGGTTGCAGTGAAGGTCTAGATGTTCAGTTGCTTGTTTGGGTGCTCGCTCAGAGTGTAACGAAATTACGTTCAGTCACGCCTTGCGCCTTCCTCTCACCGCGCAGCTGCGAAGGCAAGCGCGTTGGGGCTCACCTCGAACGTCTACTTCTGCAGTCTCACTGACAGTGATGAATGGCTGAAGTCATAGAAGTAGAATCCATTCCTCTGTTCAGACCCGTTGAGCGAGGGTAGTTCACGCATGTTATGTTGGTCCTGCTGGCGTAAACAGCAAGGCCAGGGCTAAGGTGGCATTATCTTGTAGAGTAACGTGTCGAGCAAACGCGCGCGCGTGAAAGCGTATCATTTTGGGATGCATCCGTGACTGTCGCCAAGTGATATAGCGTGTCGTGGTGGCACGAAATCATAGAAAGAAAGACTAGAAGGGGTATACATTTGTTCTGGGAGAGGGCGCGCAGAGAAAGATAGGATGAAAGAGAAGAACAATATCTAGCCCTGTGACGTACTGTGGCTGAACCCTGCCTGGCGCTAGCCCTGGAGTGCTGACGCGGAACATTGAACATTGATCTGTCCTCGCGCGACTGCCTGCTACCAACATTCACCACCACCGCCATGATCCAGGCAATCCTTCAGGTTAATGCGCACACAAATAAAATGAGGCTACCATGACTAACATGATGCAGCGCCTGGGCCGCTGGCTCGACCGGCCGCTCTTTCCATGGAAGCGCCTCGTTGTCGGCTTCTCGCTCGCAGAGTTCGCCCTGGAGAACTGGCTTCTCTTCCGTCAGTACCGTGTCCTCCAACGCACCACCGTCCCCAAGGCTCTCGATAAGGAAATTGAACGGGAGACGTTCGATAAATCCCAGGTACGCGCACAATTGCAGCAACCCCGCCATGCTTACCAGCGCTGACTTAATGGCAGGAATATGGCCGCGCCAAAGCCAAGTTCAGCTTCTTCTCCGCTCTCTTCAACCAGGTCAAATCCCTCGCCGTCCTCTACTTCAACGTATACCCGCTCGTCTGGGCCGCCGCCGGCACCGTCGTCGCTCGCTATGCGCCCGTCCGCTTCTCTGGTGAAATTCCCCAGTCGCTCTTGTTCATGTACATGTTGGGGTGGATCGATCTGATCACCGGCCTCGGCTTCTCCTACTACCACAGCTTCGTGCTGGAGGAGAAGTTTGGCTTCAACAAGATGACGGTCAAGCTCTGGCTCACGGACATGATCAAGGGCCAGGCTCTCGCTATTGCCTTCGGTATCCCCATTGGAAGCGCCTTCTTGGCTATCATCAAGAAGACAGGCCAGGGTTTCTTCTACTACCTGTGGATGTTCATGCTGGTTATCCAGATCACTGGCATGACCATCTACCCGATCCTCATTGTGCCCATGTTCAACAAGCTGGAGCCGCTCAAGCCCGGCAAGCTCAAGGAGTCTGTCGAGGCGCTTGCGTCTAAGCTCAACTTCCCGCTCTCGGAACTACAGGTCATCGACGGCAGCAAGCGCAGCGCCCACAGCAACGCATACTTCACTGGACTACCCTGGATCGGCAAGAAGAAGATTGTCATCTACGACACACTGCTGGAGAAGAGCACGGAGAAGGAAGTTGAGGCTGTCCTGGCACACGAACTGGGACACTGGAAGATGAACCACACTTCGCGACTTCTCTTCATTAGCCAGGCGCATCTATTCTACATGTTCGCCCTGTTCTCCGTCTTCATCGATAACCGCTCGCTGTACGCCGACTTTGGTTTCCACAGGGAGCAGCCGACAATTGTTGGCTTCATGCTCTTCAACGAGATCCTGTCGCCCACGGACTCCATCATCAAGCTCCTCCTCAACATCTGGACTCGCAGCATGGAGTACGAAGCCGGTATGTATCCTGGTCCCAATCCATGTCTCAGCCCATGCTAACAACACCCAGATGCCTTCGCCGTCAAGCTCGGATATGCGCGCGAACTCGGTGCCTCATTGATCAAGCTCCAGATCCAGAACCTGTCAAGCATGGACGCCGACTGGTTCTACTCCAGCTTCCATCACTCCCACCCCATCCTGACGGAGCGCCTCAAGGCTATGAACTGGACTGGCGACAAGAAGGTGTCGGAGGACAAGGCGGCGGACGAGGAGAAGCCTATCAAGGCAGCGGATCGGGAACTCTAGGCGTGCATCTCGATCGGATTTTGTACAATATCGGGTATAAAAGGTCATGGGAACTTGACCGCGCAGGGTCGCAAGTGCGACGAAAAGTTCGTAGAATACAGCCCAAATGCAATGGCCGAGGCGTCCGTCAGAGTCGTTCCCACCATGTGTCTTTTGCAAATCGTGAGATCTGACACCTTTACTCTTTTGACTTGCCCTTCGCAGCCTTTTCCTTCTTCCTCTGCTGGTCTCGTTCTTTCTTCGCCCTCTTCCTGGCTTCCTTGTCTATGGCGCCATCCGCGGGCTCCTGCTCCTCCACCTGCGCATTCGTCCGCTTCTTGTCTTTGCCCTTGGTAGACTGTACCTGAGGCTCTTCACCACCCTCCTGCACAACAATCGTCCTGTCGCCAATCTCTCCAATCTCGATATCTCCCTGCTCGGCCTGATACTCAGCCAGGTCCTGCCATTCTCCCTCGGCAACCGCTGCGAACTGGCTGGACTTCTTGAGGCCGCCCTTGCGACCAGTCTTCACAGTGACATCCGTGGTTGCGTTTTGTTGGTCGTCTTCCTCGTCTAGCGCTCGTTCTGGTTCTTGGTACTCGCCGCGCATACCCGCTGCTACACGGCGCAAGTGGTGCATGATTGGGTTGCCCATAGCGCCGCCTTGCGCATTGAATGCGACGCCTTCTGGTGTGATAGTCGCATCGGGATGGAGATGCGGGTACGTTTCCGAGTTCGAGAGGTACTTTTCGAGGATGGCCGACGCATCGTCGAGAGAGATGGGCGCGCTGGAGACGTGGCGGCGGGGAGGAGGTGCTTCGAGCATCATTTTGGCAGTGTTTTGGCGCGAAATAGAGGGTTGGGTGGGTAGCTGCTATCGTGGAAATGGTGAAGTTGCTGGTTGGGATTTTGGGACGACGGCCAACTTTTTGCGCACGGACGACAAGGAATGTGTTAGCTCTGCGGACTTCGCGACGGGCATGCCAGACTGCACGCTCGCATCGACAAATCAGGACCACGCCGCCACGGAGACGACATAACGAGCGAAGAGGAGGCAATTGCGGTCGACATACACATCATGAACGCCTTTCGGTGCCTACGGGTCGTCGCGCGCCCTTCAACCAGCGCATCCACACTCCTCCGACCACGCATAGCACCACCCTCCTCGTACCTACCCTCCCTCCAAGCCCCTCCCCCACCCCTCTAACCCATCCTCCAGACTATTCACACCCTCGTCCACCCGCCAAATATCCCTCCTCACCCCCCGACGCCCCATGCTGCCCCGCACAAACGCCCTCCCGCCCGCGGGCACCACCTCTCTGGTCCCCTCAAGCTCCGAGACGCTGGACCTCGCCTCCAAAATCTCGTCACATCCTGGTCTGGGCAGCATGCAGATTCGGTGCGGTCCGCGTGATACGTACAACCCGAGCCATCTGGTGCGCAAGAGGAGACATGGGTTTTTGAGCAGGATTAGGACGAAGAAGGGGCGGAAGATGATTATGCGGAGGTTAAAGAAGGGGAGGTGGAATATCAGTCATTAGAGCAGCAGTAGTGTTTGCCTATTCAACGGGCAAGCATGTGTTGAACTCGGAGGTCTCTGGCTGGGAGATGGAAATAGACAAGGGCGCTTGTGTATATTGAATGTACAGTATGCGTAATGTGCATGTAGAGACATGTACTATATAAGACAGGGAAACGTGCATCTTCTGGAGTAGTAAATACTTACACGGAGTCTCTATTTGACTGGTATTCCTCCTGCTCCAGTCTCTTTGGGTACCAGCCCACAAACGTAGGTCCTGTAGCCATTTCTTGAAAACCCTCTCTAGTAGAGACGAAACCCGCATTGCGTTTAGATTCTCCCCATATTGTTGATGGTGTTAGGAAGTGGACTAGAGATCCATCCTAGTGGATACCGCGTTGGAAGGTGTTGTCGGTTCCAGAGACGATATCTAGAGAGCTGCATGGGAATCTCCTGGTAACCCCGAATGCTTCTTCCATACTGGCGCTGATAGGGGGTACATAAGCCGACGTCCAACCGGCAATCATATGGAGAGCTCTGTGGTATCCGATGATCATAATGGCCATCGCATCACTTTGGCGTCGAAGGCTTTTCCTCTCCAGCCTTGCCCTCCTCTTCCGCCCCCTGCGTGCCGTCCTCCAACGCCTCCACAAGCTTAAGCTCCTCATCGATCTTATCGATTTGCTTCAAAATGAACGCAATCGTAGCATCCCTTGCTTTGTCGACCCTCGTCAGCGCATCCATAGTCATCTTCCCATAATCCTGCATCTTCTGAGGCGTCGGCGGCGCAGGCTCCTCATCCTGCAACTGCGCCTTCTTCTGGCTCAACAACTTCCTCAGCGCAAAGATGTTGTAATCCCTTTCCTGTAGGTTCTTAATCAGTTCTTCCCGCTTAGCTTCTTCATCGACTCTTTGCTTCTTGGTAGCCTGCTCTTTCTTGATCTCCGTATCGGCGACTTTCCACTTCCAAATCGCTTCCTTGGCGCTGTTTTCAATGTGCGTGAAACGTATGGGACCGATGTTTTGCCCGCCGTACCAGCGCGCAACTACTACAACGCCCTCGGTCTGCGTGTCTCGTAGTACATTGCTGAGTCGTCCTCCGGCCCACTTTTCGCCGTCATCATCGTGGCCAAGATCATACAAAGTGCGGGATTCTGGCATCAAAGACTTTTGCCGTGATGGTTTCCTCCATGCTGCAATTTTGTGGGTGGCAGTCCGGAATTCGGGGAGTGTTTGCAAGGCTTTGGCGGATAGGTTAGGAGAGAACGCGGCTTTGAATGTTGATGTCTGCTCTTGTATTGCTGACGAAAGATATATTTCTGTTGTGGGTTTCGGAGATGGTGAGCGCTCCCTTTTCATGGCCATCTCTTTTCATGCGCTTGTTGCACTGGATGTTGTGTGGTCCAAGTTGGAGAAGGGACGGGAGGTTGGTAACGTGCAGGGAAGGCGCATGCGGAAGCGCGACTTTAGCGCGCTTGCCAAAGGATGTCGCGAAGCTTGTCAGCGCTGCTTCCACGAAACATCATCTTTGAACATCAAGATTCCATCAATTTTGCGTCCACTAGCAGCTCTCTTATAGATTTAATTGTTCTGATCACCACGGCTGGATCTCGTCATTTGTTTACAACATTCTCTTCCAAAATCATGAACAATTCCTGCGTCGTTTGTGCACGTACTCCTCTTGAAAGACACGATGCGCGTCCCTCCTGTCCAGACAAGACATTTCATCAAGCACATATGTGGGTTTCATTTTTGGGGACGTATCGTTGTTGTCCAGGCGGTCAAGCAAGAACTTCTGATGTGGTCAAGGCTGTCATTTCTCTCACTAGGTTTCTTGAACCAATTGTTGCTCAGGTATATAACTCATAGCCACCGTCCTCTTCGTATATATAGCTTTGCTCTCTCTTATACTTACATGATCACTTGCCAAAAAACAACAACTTGGCTGTCTACCTCCCTTACCGACAGCACCGAGGGTACCCGGTGGTGTCTCAAATCTTTCACTTCTCAATTCTACGAACACGTCACATCAAGCGCACGAGACCACATCTCGGGACATATACCCCACTTACCTGTCATTGGACGACCTTGCTAAGACTCAAGACTCGTAGCAGGCAACGAGCCGTTACTGCTAGCGCATACAAGAGTTTTCAGGTAGCGATATCTGATCTCCAACACTGATCCTCTACCACTTACTCGCCGCTACAACTTCAGTAGTATTTGGCGCGATCAAAGCGATTCTTCGCGGCGACTCAAGGTAAGTTCGTGCGATTTGTTCGGCGCAGACGCCTCGTCCTTCAGTGCGACGCGACTTTGATCTGCTGAGGCGATCCTCTTGCTCCAGCCTTCCAATCTAGACTTGACGCCAAACCTCTTGCTAACCTCTACGGCTCAGATAACTGCCTCAACGCTCCGGCGGCAGTTTGTTCATCAAGCTCAAGCTCTTCAAGTCCACTGTCCATACGGACCAGCTATCACCATGGGCCGATTCGAAACCCTCAACGATGACACCAAGGACCTGGTGAATTGTCTTCTGCCCGCCCTGGCAGCTTCCTTTGGTCTCGCCGAGAGCCTGGACATCATCCCTGAGGACATTCGCATGCGCGCCTGGGATTGCGAGCGCCGCGACCATATCAAGGACGAGACCGAGAACGACCCTCGCAACTGGGGTGTACAGTTCCTCAAAGATCTGATGTCTATTTCTCGTCTCACGAATGGAGACCTAGCTCGGTTCCAAGCTGATCTGCGTGCTAAGGTCGCTCTTCATGAGCCCAAGCATCCCTGGGCTCGTCTGGCCGATATCAGAGACATCAAGGATGAGTACGAGCACCCAGAGCGCAAGAACCAGGTCGTCATCCCGGAGTCCTCTGAAGAATCTTCCGATGACTCCTACTTCGAAGAGCTGGTCGAGCCAGATCAACCCAAGGGCGCTAAGAGGCGTCGTGGTAACCACGAGGTCTACGAAGCACGCATTGCAGAGAAGCGCCGCAAACGTAAGTCAACTCCTCTGTCATACCGAAAGTCGTTCAACAGATACATCAGCGACGACTTTGAAACTTCGAACGTCGAACAATGTTATTGACATTGAGTAGGTGCTCCTAACCGTCTCCGCCGTGCCGAGGATGGTGGCTTCGAGCGTCACGACAAGCGGGCCAAGAAGCGTGAGCGCTCTGTCCGTACCAGCACCACTCCCAGTGGTCGCGGAATCGCTACTCGCCGCTCCAGGACCATCGTCACCGAAGACGATGAAGACTATACTAGCTCTCACGGTACCCAGTCCCTCCTCACCCACCGGACTCCTGCCTTCTCCGTCTCTCCAGGTCCCCAAGATGCGCGCATGTACCCTGTGGAGACTGTAGATACCGTGGATACGTCTGGCCAGCCTCTTGCTGTCCAAAAGATGCAGGCGGAGTTGGAAGTTGCCGAGGCGGAGCTCAAGGCTGCCCGTGTAAGGTGGCAGTACCTCCAGGCCAAGGAGCAGGCTGAGCAGGAAGCTATGTATGGTGGTAACGGTACTCCGGAGATGCCTCACAGGTTCGATTAAGTAGTTCTGGTCGGTGTGATTGGAGGATTTCATGCATATTTGCGGTGGCTTCGGCAGCCTTTCTATAGTACGATACATGCGTGAATGGTTAAAGCCAACTTCAGAATTTAAGACTGTTCCGTCTTCTTCTCCCTGACTAGGCGTTCTTCTTTCATGGTCAGTCGCATTCTGAGTGACCTGTCCACACTGTTGCCGTGTCTAGGCTGTGCGCGGGGGAGTGGACCTTGATCAATGTCGCCCAACTCAGCTCTCTTCTCGATCTCGCTTTGAAGATTTTTTACATCTTCTTTCCTTTGCTGAAGCGCATTTCGCGCGTCTCGCGGTTTGGGCTCGGGTGGGTATGATGTGTAGAAAAAGTCCTCAGCAAGAGGTCGCTTCCGCTCCCAAAGCTTCTTCTCCGCCTTCTTTCCAGAGGCAATCTCCTCCCTCCACTGATTGGCCTCATGCCAGTTAGTATACTACATGATGTTAGATTATATTGCTTTCACTAATACTGTTATACATACCGCCTCCATCCACTCATCTGGCCCCACCGCCTTATTCATGGCGATGTCGGCCAGCAGGATACTACGTAGAGCCTGCTGGAGGGGTGTTGCGGTCCGCTGAGACATGTTGAGGAATACGTAGATTTTTGTAGTGTGTTTGAGTGGAGGTAGTGTTGCAATGTAGGCTGCAGGGACAACTGTGGTGTGGTGGTTGTAGTGGTGGTGTCGCGTTGTAGGCCGCAAAGACAGTCAAGGCAACGACGATATGAGACCACCAAAACCGTTTGCCGCATACAGCGGTGACGGTGAGGGCGCAAAATCTTCATCTCTGGGCTCATGGTGACGCGTCTTCCTTGTGTAACCTCGCAGTGAAAGTGAAGGTGAGAGCGGATCGACCTCGAGCTCGCGTTTGTTTGCTTACCTATTCCCCCACAGTCTCTATCTACCCCAATTCTTTATCCACTCTTATATGTGTGTGTATAAATATTTGTTAATTCTGAAATACTCCATTAAACCATTCTACCTCAAAACCGGGATGGCGGCTGGAACGAAAAGAGGACACTGTCCAAGCAAAAAAAGATACACAACATAGCCAGTCGTGACAAACCCGCCCCAAGAAGCAATAAAAGGGTTTCAGATGTCCAAAGATTACGGAGGTGGTCATCTCTTTTTGCTCCAAGGTCGAAACTGTGTTGTGACAGCTCTGCGCTCTTTCTTTTTGCCCGCTTTTTTGCCCGCGGTAAGTGGCAGGAACATAGATATTTCTGCTGCGTACATAGAGTCGTTTCTCGTAGCTGTGAACGTTAAGAAAGCAACGTAGCAGGCAAAGAGGTCTTACCAGCAGCTCCTCAAATCCCAGTCGTGCACAGAGTATCTCCAGCCCTTCTCATGCTCATCACTCTTAGCAAACCTACACAGTTGTTGGAGATTTCACATGCAGCGCAACCCTCTGTTTTGGCGATGCTGTTAGACACATGTAGAGTATCATATGTAGGCCGGGCTTCACATGCCAGGATATGTAAGCTGACATGCAGTCGACCCCACAATTGTTCCGTCCGACTCAGGTACGCATTTCTAGACTATGCAATGTCATTCATAGACCTTTCGGCGCGCCTTCTACGCCACTCGCACCTGCCTGTTTCGCCATTCGATCAAACCCAGTCTGCAGGTGGACCAATTAGGAACTACGCTCCGCTAGCGCGTCTCCGCAGTCCTTCCCCAGATCGCCTGATCATCCCGACACCGAGGCTCTACAAAAACATTATGCACACAGCAGGACCCATTATGAACATGGAACAGCCATCCCAGAAACGAGTATCGAAAGCATGCGACGCGTGCAAGAGGAGAAAAGTGCGTTGTAACGGCCAAGCACGGTGTCAACAGTGCGCGCATCTCGGCTTGCGGTGCATCTACTCACCCTCAGGCAAGCAAAGGTCTCAGGGCAAGCGAGGCCATATCATCTCCGAGTTCAGAAGCCAAACGTCCAATTTGCCAGCAATATCGCCGCCCATACTGCCTGCTCATTCAGCAGCAGCTAGCTTTCAGACGCCGTACAGTCCCATCTCGCCGATACTTGACCGTAATGGAGGCACACCAAGTATGTCACCCTGGTAATCTATACTCAAATTTGGGGTGCTACTGCTGACTCCGGGCAGCATCTCCTTCGTCATCTTTCACATCACAGTACCCCAAGGCTTTCTTTCTCGACCTCATCCCGGATTATGTTGCTGGGGTGTATCCTGTTCATCCGGTCATTGCCGAACATGAGCTCCGACAGTACATCGAGGTCATGGACAGCGACCCAGATGTCCGTTCATTCATCTACGCTTTCGGAGGCTGTACGCTGAACTTGACCCGGTATGGTGACCGCCGAACAGAAGAAATCGTGCAAACCATCGAAGGCCTTATGGACTACTCGATCGATACCATGAGGCGAACCCACAAGCATTGCCAATTCTCGGTCATGCGAGCTGTGCAGTCAATGTTTATACACAACTGCCTTATGAGTCTGCAAGGTAGCGATAGCGCATTTTACTACATGCGAGACGCCATTACGATCATCCAGCTGCTGCAGATCGACAAGCCGGAGAACGTGGCCCAGCTGTCTCCTCCCGAACGATCCCGAAGACAGCGGCTCTACTGGCAAGCGTACATACACGAGCGATTCATAGCTATCCTGGATTACCGGCGTGCCATTCTCCCTCCGCTCTACACATTGCCGGAAGACGACCCTACACTTCCGATACAGGTCCACGAGGGCTTCAATCAGATCATCAAGCTTTTCCGCATGCTTGATACGGAGTTCCTTGATAGCTGGCTTGACACGCAAGGAGGCA